CCAAACCCCGCAAATAAGCCCTCCTTGTAAATGAGGGGTCCCCCCCCTTTTTGAGGGGGTCTTTTTTTTTTTTTTTTTTGTCACTTGCTACCGCCATGTTCGAAAGCATCAGATGTAGTGTCCAGGGACAACAAGCATTAATTTCAAGCTCTACCTCTGCCCTGCTTCTTGTTGTCCAATCTGCAACATCTCTGCAGAGACTAGTAGACCTCCATGCTGCTCTGGCACAACTCCTCTCTCAGGGAGTTATAGCCATTGTTGCAGAAGAAGAAGAAAGGTTTCAGGGTTTCTACTCCTACCTGTTTACTGTCCCCCAAAGCAAAAGGTGGCATTTACTCTATTCTGGAGCTTAAGGCTCTCAATGCCTACATTTGAGTGCACAAATTCCACACAATGTATCGGGTCAGTCATTGTGGACATCAAAGATGCATACTTGCACATCAATGCTACCTCGATTTTGCTGTGGGCTTGCAGCACTGCCAGTTCATTGTCATCCCCTATGGCCGGTACACAGCACTTCAAGTCTTCACCAAAATGCTAATCCCTGTGCTTTTCTCTGCTTTATTTGCACGGCATCCCCATAGTGGGATACCTTGACTACCTTCTCCTGAGTGAACAGATGATTCGGAGCCTGTGTGTCAACATCCATCAAGCTGTGCAGAGTCTGCAAAAGTTTAGCGGGGTCCTGAACATTTAGAAATCAGTGTTGGAACCATCTCATTGTTTGGAGCATTTGGGTCTCCTTCCAGACACTGCTTAGTCCAGGGTCTTTCTGCGGCAGGACAAACTCCTGACTCTCTGCCCTCAGATTCGGACTCTGCAGTCTTGCCTATGCTTTGGCATAAGGGTTCTGGACTTGAAAGTTGCATCCTTCGAGGAAGTACCTTATGCTGAATTCTGATCCGCTCTAAATAGACAAACAATGGATTAACCAAGTCCAGCCTGCTTCATTCTTCTCTCGCTGCTTCTTATGTGAAGGCTGGCAGGACCGATTCTAAATTTGTGAAGTGGCCACTTTTGGCTAAAAGGATTGCACCAGCCTGAGGATTACTAAGGCGATATTACACAGTAAAGCTCTTTTGCAGAACAACAGATGGTATATTGAACAGGAACAGACTGGATCAAACAGAGAGGACAAAATAGTTTGAGCACCAATGAAAGATCCAAAAATCCACAATTTGCGCCACCAAAGGAGAGAGCGGATCCCAGCCGCCTTCTGAGACGAACTGCAGGAAGCTTTTCCAAATGTGATGTGAAGCTCTTTCTGGGTTTCATCAGCATATTACTCACTATGTTGTTGGTCTTTCAAGGCCTTTAAGTGTCTCCTTTCCAACCCCAGGCCATGATTCAACCTCTTCGTGTTCGTTGGCAAACATCGTTTTGCATCAGTGGATCCACACAAGTAGGGAAGGGAATCGGAAGTTCAAACTTCAGTCTCCACAGAAGCAGTAACCAAGGCCTCATGGGCCAACAGAAAAGAACCGCTGTAGCCTGCACCCTTTAATACTGCATCTTGATTAAATGTCGCAGAATCGGAGGAATTGGTGGGAACCTCCAAGAGAGGAAGCTGGGCATTTACTGCTGATGCCATTAGATCTATGCCTGGTGTTTCCCATATGTCAAAGATCTTTCGCAGGCATTTGAGACTTAAAGCCCATTCATTGTGGTTAATAAATCTCCTCCTCAGACTGTCTGTCATTACAGTCGGAGTGCCCAATATATATGACTCTGTCAGCAATGTCACATTGTTCTGCCACCTGAAATGGCTTAAAGTTTGTGAGGCATACATGACTCATACATAAGCCCCCACAATCTCGTTCAATCTTCCCAAGATGAGAATGTCAAGCAAATAATAATGAAAGATTTCAACTCCCCTGGTTCTTAAAATTGTGATGATTGCAGACATTACTTTTGTAAAGGTTTTGGGGGTTTTGCAAAAGCAGACCAGAGCAAATCTGAGGAAATATTGATGTGCTGCATTCACTGGAATGCGCAGATTTTTTTCTGCCAGGCCTATTGACACCATCTTATCTCCCTTCTTCATCACCGCGACAGCAGTCTCAAAACGGAGTATTTAATAAGTACTTTACAAATTTTAGGTCCAACACTAGCCGGAAACCTCCTGCGGTCTTTAGTACATGAAACAATGGGAAATGGATTCCTGTGCCTCTCTGCCAAAGATGCACTGGTCAAAAGGCTTGCCACATTCTATGTCGGGGGAACTGCAAGGTCTAACGCTCCCAGATATTGGGTATGGGAAGGCTGAAAACACAAGGGAAAACACAAGGCAAGCCCTCATACTTTTCAGCTTAGCCAGCCTATACAGTCGATAAGAGATACTGACACAATACAAGCCCAAGCACCATGGGCACCCACCATAAGGGAGATTTACAGGCCAAAAACAGGGAGCCATCTGCCTGGGAGAGGCTAAACCTAGGCAGGCATGTAGCAGAGTATAGAAAAAAATGAGAAAGCATAAAAAACAACCTACTGTAACACAAACAAGGATGGAAAAAGAACAATTGGAGGTGACAGTAGCCTAGAATTTATGGGCTAGTTGGGTTGGTGCTGGAGGGGTCAAAGGGAAGAGCTGAATTTATAGTAGGCTGACATGAGGAGGTTCATGAAAAGACCTTTTCCTGGCCTCGCTGATGGAATCTACAATTGTAGAAATTGTAGGTGCTTTATACTTAACGTACTTCTACTTTACTGTTGTTGAATATATTCACAATGTATAATGGATTTTAAAGGAAATGATGGCACCCTTTTTAATATCTGATTCTTATTATTTGTTAATAAATATTATTGTTCTAAGTTCACTAATACATTAACTTTGTGCCTTTCCCTCCATCAGGCAGAGAGCAAGCAAACAGGCCGAAGTGTCTTCCGCAGCGCATTGTTAAACAGACTGCAGTGTGAATATCGGAATCGAGAGGAGATGAGAGCCCGGTCTGTACAAGAGTGGGTGTGCTATGTCTGCTTCATCTGCAATGTCTTTGACTATTTGAGAGTAAGTTTGAGAAGTGTATCTGCTGCATAGTTTAAGCATTTTTAAAAGTTGAGCAAAGACGTGCAATTTGGTCTTGAAGCTATTTTTAGGTAATTTACAGGGAAGCAAAAACATATAGCACTGTTTATGTTGCCTTAAAGAACCCTGGACATAATTATTCTTAACCCTTGCAGTGGCGCTATCCTGTGCATATGCAGCTCTGTACAGTATAGGAAGTTTCTTTTTGGATTGAGGGGGGAAAGGGTTGGAGCCTCTCTCAGGTTTTTATTGCTGTCTGTGTCCCTGCTTGGAAGATTTACTCCTCTTTTTGTCCTAGTGACCACTGGACCCAAGACAAAGTAATTGGAAATCCAAAATTGTTGTCACTAGTGCAAGAGGCAAGGGCAAATCTTCCGATCAAGACTCTTCCAATCCTGTAGCAACTCTCTAAGATGGGAATTCCACTCACTCTGGGGAGATTTTCTCTCATTTCCTGTTTCGCTACAGCTGAAAGAGAGGGAAAATCCAAAATGGGAATATAGGGGAAATCTTCAATGGTGAAAGTTGTAATGGCGTTAAAAGATGAATCTGCCTCCGTTCGGAAACATTCCCTCTCGTTTTCTGTTGGCTGTACAGGACAAAAAGTGAAGGGAAATCTCCCCAATAGGATGCAAATGGCAAAAATAAACTGACAGGGGTGTTGACCCTACTCTGTACAAAATGGAAACAAGTTTGGGCTTTAGATTTTCGTTAGGTCAGCATTTAGTTTTTTGAATTTATTTTTTAGCACCTGAAAGGTCAGACCTTAGTTCACTATGCAGTCGTGAAAAAAAAACACTATGACATTTCGGACATTGAGGTCTCTTATGCATTACTGCAAGAGTTATCGGAATCTTTAACATTTTATTGAAACCATTAATATCATTTTCAGGAAGAGGGAACTAGTAAAACATGTAAGCTTGTAGCTGGCACATCAGTAAATTCACTCAGCTCTTTGAGTTAAAACATTGTAATAATTATGATAATTATGATATATTTGTTTCTACAAAATAGAGTTCTATAAAGGATTGAGGGTGTTCTGCATCTGTTTTTCTTTAGGTCAATAATATGCCGATGTTGGCCTTGGTTAATCCTGTGTATGACTGCCTTTTCCAGCTGGCACAACCTGAGAGTCTGCAGAGAGAGGAAGAGGTACCTTTTTTTTTTTTTTGGCGTTGGTTCTCTTTTGGGTCACAGGAGTACACTTGCTAATATACTTCTGTATATATCAGGAATGTGTAAGTTTGTATTGACCATTGCTACATAGTATTTGTATATTTACTTCCTTCACTTGTTGCTAATAAGGAGTGTTACACTTTTTTAGGTTATATCATTTGTGTCTAGTGTGTGTGCACATTGGGAAGTGTCAGCACTTTAGAATTCAAAGGGAGACGAGTAAAGCAAGTATACATTTTCTCCATTCAGATAAAAACGATAGAAATGGCGAGCGCACAACTGATGTGGAATATGATGGGTATGTTTAAAACAGTTTAGGGTGAGCGAGCTTCTTGATCAGGGAGAGGAACCCTGTAGGCATATCAAAAAGAGGGGTGGAAAGAAGCGCTGCAACCCTGGAATTTTTATGTATAGAACAATAAAAACTTTAAAATAAATGTTAGCTGAAAACTCACTGTTTGGACGGACAAATATAGGTCTTGCAGTGGAGGAGTGAAGGCTGTATGGATCACTCAGCGGCATCTGTGGCCGGTCTGTGTGGGTTTGAAGAACGGGCTACATGGTTATTAGGCAGTCCATTGATGTTCCCTGGTGGTTGTTGTGACTGGGGGGTCCGTTGGGACAGAGTGAGCTGTGCTGGTTGACGTGGCACTCGCCGTCAGGTGCAATGAGAGCTCAGCTGGCCAGGCTGCCTCTCGTCGGCTGAACGGGAGCAGGAATGCCGCTGTAGATCGGTATCGCAATGGGTCAGCGATCGTGGGGGAATTGTTGTAGGGGTTGGCTTAAAAATGATGGACACTGTAGTCCGTGAAGAGAAGGATTCGGCTATGCGTTTCAAGGTTCTGGACCTCTTTTTCAAGCCAGAAGTGGAAAAAGAGGTCCAGTGTGAGTGGAAAAAACTCTAGGTAAGAGTTTTCAGCTAACATTTATTTTAAAGTTTTTATTGTTCTAAACCTAAACATTCCAGGGTTGCAGCGCTTCTTTCCACCCCTCTTTTTTATATTTTCTCCATTCAACCTGCAGGCTGAACAAAGAAAATATAACAGATTCCTCCATCGACGTTTACGAGCATTGATTGAGGAATCCCCTGCTGTTTTTATTGTATTCTGACAATGGCCACTAGAATGGACCTAGCAGCTGATTGCCTTCCAGCTCCGTTTGGCTGAGAAGTTTCCTTCGATCAGTGATTGGGGATGCCAGCCAGAAAGGTGCCAACAGTGGCACTCAATGTGCGAATATTGGCCAGTTCCTGATGAACTTTGATATGTGTGTACCCAGCTTAAAGTTACATTAAAAATCCCCCCCCCCCCCCCCACAGC